CCTTCCTTCCTTCCTTCCTTCCTTCCTTCCTTCCTTCCTTCCTTCCTTCCTTCCTATAAATTAGAAAGTATTCCACATCTTAAGAAATGTCTAGATAAGGTGTTACATTAGTTTCAAAGATGGGGAGATTATGTTTAATCAAGGTTTGGAGAGTTAGTTCTATGAGAAAGAAGGCATTTGATTTCATCTCTGAAGAACATGCAGAGATGTGAAGGAAGGGAATTCAAGGAAAAGAAACTATATGATTAATGACACAACAAAAGACTAGTGTGTGATGTATAAAGAGTTTCTCATTTTTGTCAGGCTAGAATACATGGAGGAGAATAGTGAGAAATCGTGGCATGGTGCACCATGAGGGCAAGAAGCTAAGGAATTTGTACTAGATTGCATTAGTGCTGGAAAACAACTGAATGTTTGGTGGCAAAGGGTGTATTGGATTTGAGCTGGGCTGCAGGAACATTAACTTGATACGGTGGGTATCATGGAAAGCCTGAAGTAGAGAAACAACAGAGAGCCTTGAAATGAAGGATGCATCTAAAGTGATAGAATATAAGAATCAATAGCACTTTACTGTTGATTAGATGTGGGGCACAAAAAAGAGAATGAAGGAAAAATGTCAGCAACGTTTTGATATATGGGGGTGGGAGGGTGATGTTATTATTAACAGAAATAAGGAATAGAGAAGGAGCAAATGTGACAGAGACGATGGATTGAACTTCTTTCAGGCTGGAGTGTCTATTACAGAGTAAGTTTTCAATAATAGTAGTTTACTGATCTCTAGGTGTACTGCTGAAGATAATACTGCCTTTGTTTTCCCACAGACAATCATACTAGAACTTAGAATGGCATGTTTAACTGCACATTTTAATTGTAAGTAATATTACAACTTATGTTTTCAATAAAGTAAAGCATAATGATTACCTGGGATTCTCTCTGCATTGTGAGGGTTGAGAGGGGGAGATAAACTTTAGTAAGCTAAGATGAGAAAACTAAGTCTTTGAGAGGCTGAGCAACCTCATTGGATTTTTTTTTTAATTTTTAGCTGAGCCATCCTGCCATCTGTTGGCAGCTCAGCAGCAGCTCAGCTCGGACCGGGAATCGAACTGGCAACCCTATTGCTCAGAGCTCCCCCTCTTGAGTGAGCTCTTAACCAGTTGAGCCACTCGACCTGCCCAGGACCTCACTGTTGATGCCGAATATCTAGTTAGTGGCAGAGTGAAGATTAGAACCAGTTCTCCTGATGGCCAGTTGTGTATTTAGTTTCTTGTTTGAAGAGAGAAGGCAAAATGAAGGCCTGAAAAGCTTTGATGTGGTAACCAGTCTATGCTTGTACTTGAAGTGTTTTGGTGAGTATTTGTTGGAGGGGGAAGGATACATTTCCTTGCCCACCACATGTGATTCATCAGCTAGAACATTCTCTTTACAATGAAATAAAAACTTAAGTAAATGTTTACTGATGTCCCTGTTCTTTTAATTTTTCCTTTCATTATAAAAATAATTTTTATTTTATGAAAATTAACACAATACAGTTATATAACTCACCGTAGCCACCTAATCCTAGTTTTCTCTTAGAGATAACCATGGTTAATGGTAGATGGAGGTCCTTTCAGACTTAGTGAAGCAAATATAAATTCTCTCTTTGTCTCTCCGTGTCTACCTCCAGAATTGTTCCATAAAACCCCCCTACTCTCTCCCTGACTGCCAGCTGCCTATTAATGCTCAAGGCCATATTAAAAAGCTGAAGAGTCTATCAGCCTGGATCCCTGAATGACTATGTGGAGCAGAGCCCTCCTGTAGACTATATGTTAAGCGAGCAAAAAATAAATTTCTATTATGTTAAACCCCTGAAATTTTATGGCTTATTTGTTTCAGCAGTTATCATACCTTATTTAGAACAGAGGCTCTCTGCATTGTGACTGGAGTGAATTGGACATTGTTTGACTGTTTTCTGGCATTAAATAAATCTATAAAGAAGTCTAAATACAATCTGATTTGTCCTCCCTGGCTTGTGACTTTCCTGTTATATTTAATTAAAGTTAAACTCAGCCACTCCAGAAATAATTATGCTCTTGACAATGCTTCTATCAATATGTTAATCATAAAAATACAGAATAAGTCCTTTGATGCCGGCCAACTTCTGAGAATTTTAAAATCAAGTCATTTCTGATTTCACCCATGTATTTTAGTAGGCTACTATGAATTTCAAAACCTTGCAGAGAAATAAACATTCTTTTTTCAGATCTATAAAAATTCAGTTGCTGAAGAAATTTCAAGCCTGATCCATTACAGTTTAATTGCAATGTCTTTTTTTCTTGGAGTACAGTAGACTACCGAGAATAAACGTACTTCAAAACAGTTCTTTGGGTATTTTGTTTTTTATAGGGTCCAAGATGTATAGAATCTAAAAGTTCCTCCTTAAAAATAATTCAGTTATTCTTCTTGCCTCAGGATGAAGTACAAACTTCTAAACACGATTTACATGTTTTTGTTCACCTCTCTACTCTATGCTCCTACCATGATGTACCATCTTTTACGCACCAGCCATTCCAGTTTCTCCAGTGTGCTGTGCTCTCTTTACCTCCAGCCTTTGCACATACAGTTCCTGTTATGAAGTACTTACCACCTCCCTGCCAACTCCTTTTCCATAGCTTACTGCTATTCAGTCTTCAGGTCGTCACTTAGATGTCATTTCTTCCATATAACCTATGCTGATGGTTCCCCAAGGACAGGTTAGGGGAGGTTCCTGTCTGCCATCAATACTTGATTCTTTATCAGAACACTTCATAATCAAAGTCCAGTCATTGGTGTCCTTCTTTAGATTGCAGTCTCCGAAAAGTCAGGGTTAATTATCTTAATGACACTAAACGTAATGCCTAATACAGTGCATGAGAGAGTAGGTGGTCAGAAATATTAATTGAATGTTGCTGAATCTAGAACAACTCTATCTGATGTTCTAGTCCACCACAACATATAGATGATGTTAGTGACCCACTAACCAAAGGACACTTATCTGGAATTATCTTATTTCCCAGGATCCAGTGAGGCCAAAAGAGCTGAAGTGGTGAAAGAATTGGACATAAAGCATGGTTTTCCTTTGTACAGTAAACAACTACATTCAGTGACCAAATTCATGACCCTGAACTCATTACTCTTCAGTTCTAACTGAAATTGGGTAGTAGAGACTGACTACTCAATGATCCAAACGATATAAATACAATTCAGAAAACAAATAAACCTCTGTTTGATTTTAATAATTTAAGCTTGCAAGTTTTGTTCCTTCTAATCTGGAGATGCAGCAGCTGACCAGACCTCACTCCTTGGCTCTGCTACTGCTGCTCCGCAGCACACCCACTGATTGGGAATTCTCCTTGAATGAACATTTGATTTGATTCAGAGTATTTTTGAGCTTGTATACTTTCCCCTCTCTGAAAGGCTGTTGTTGATATTAATCTCCCTGTCCCATCTTAAATGTGGTCTCATATTTCTAATCATGATCTTCCACTACCACCTTCTTGCTTCAAGCTTCACTTTTATCTTATTATAGTCATTGTCAAACCAAGCTGTTCTCCACATACCCAGCTCTGAGACCTCTGGCTGCTGCCATTCCTGCCACCATTATCAATGCTCCTGGCCGATCAAGGTCTCAGCCCTTGGCTCTTAAATACCAGTGCTCCCAGGAGGGTTTAGGGCATCGAAGTATGGGAGTTGGCTCCATGGGGAGAGGGAATGTTTCGCTATTACTACTTCTCTGGCATAAGTGAGTGTAGCAGAACTAGAGAGCCTTTAAGAAAATGGCAGTGTGGCAGTGGAGATTTTTCTAAGACCACAGATGAATGTAGAAAGAGAGAAGACCACGGCTCCACACTATGGCTTTCTCAATTCACCAGTGCATTCTCCTCTATGGGGCTAGATGAAGAAGGCTTTCCTAAGGGGTGTTTGCTGGGGTCAGCCTTCCACAAAGTACTGTTGAGTTTCTTCAAGGCAAAAGACTGAACTTATACTGACGGTACATGTGCAAATGCCCAGCAATCCATGGCTGCTTTCTCACCTTGTGTAACTGATAATACTGGAAAGCACCAATTCCACCTTGTTCCTCTGCAGTCCAGAGCACCAAACGTAGAGTCCTCTTTGGACGCAGCCCTGGGAAAAACAATAAAATAAAATAAGTGATTCTTCAGTTGATTTTAATTTTTTTTAAAAATGGCAAGGTTGCCTCATCCGCATTTTGGAGGCAGGAGAGAACCAGAGAAACACATATTCATCTCTTGCTGGTGTGGCCGCCTGATTCAGAGTGTGGCTGATGCAGCAAAGGAACACCCTCAGGGCTGATCTCCAGGGTTAATGTGGTTGTGCAAATGCTGCCTGCAGGCCAGGAAGTGAGAGCCTCTAATCATAGCCCTAACTAGACAACCTGTCCCACAAGACCCAATGGATGGCCAAGTTCAGTGAGATGTTAGATTATGTATAGAAGATACAGTTAGGAGGACCCTAGGTAGTTCATGGGGCCTTCTAGTGATTAAATGAAACCAAATCATTTGACTTTACTTCAAGGGAAATTGTGTGGGGGATTGCTTCTTGGTCTAAATCCATAAGTATAGCCAAATGCCCATGCAATCCTCAGTGGTATAATGACTGAGAAGCATATGCAACATTTATGTTTACTCATGGTGAATTTCCTCTCCTACATGGACATATAAGTTCATTCACTTAAGGTCAATGAAAAGTAATTGAAAGAGGATGACATTTTATTCACCTTATTGCTGTATAAACAGTTTGGTGGCAATTTCATTGACTTGGGAAGTATAAATTTCTATCTTGGAGTTATTAAAGTTACTGGCAAAGGTGACATATGTAGAACCATTTTTGAGTGACAATGTCTGCTTGGTAAAGGTAACTACAAGGAAACTCTGTTTCCCAAAGTTTAAAAAATGGGACCACAATACACTAAAAGTCCCACTTTGTGACCAAGAATTAAAACCTGTTCTGATTTGGACCTCATAATGTTGTTTCAGAGAAATAACACACAGAGAAAGAGCACAGACAAAAAAGAAACCCATAAAGCTGAGCTTAAATCTTATTAAGAAGAGCCATCCTCCCGCCTCACCTCAGGGGAGCCACAGGGCAAGACTTTGAGTGGCTCTGAGATGAACACGTTGAAAATCTCAAGTATTACCACATAAGTGCTGCCATGCAGGTAAGTGGTCTTCGAGGGAGCAGGCTGGTGGATGGCTGCCTGCATGATAAATGCTCCTGGGAAATGAAGCTCTGTCCTGCCTCCTTTGGCACCAACAAGTATTCTCATTTCATAAGCCTAGTGCTGAGGAGCTGACAAGGAGCTGTTTTCCATTAAATTGGATATTGTTGTGAAGCCACTTTACACTTGAGCATTTTAAAAAAGAGCATGGGTTTAGGATGCAGGCTGACCTGAGTTCCAGGTAAAGTCTGGATGAGCCATTTCCACATCCAATTGCTCAGTAAATTCCATTGGTGTTTTCTTCTATCTAGAATCCAGCTTCTCACTGCTATGACCCTGGTCCAAACACCCACCCTCTTTTGCCTGGATTGCTGTAATCACTCCTAATTGCTCTCCCTGCCATAGTCCTCATCTCTCTGCAGGTGGTGCTCCCTCCACACAGCAGCCAGGAGGACCCTAGTTGAACTTAAACCAGATCATGTCATTTCTCTGCTCAAAACCTCCAGTAGCCAGAATTTAAGCTTCTGGAAGGCAGGGGTCTATGTTTTTTTATTTGCTGTGGTGACCCCCAGTGCCTAGACTGTTCAACATACATTAGGTGCCTGATCAATAGGCACTGAATGAATAAATGAATCCAAAGCTTGGTATCTCAATTAGAATAAAATTCAAATCTTCCCATTACTTTCCCAGTCTCATCTCCTAAAACTCTTCAGTTAGTTCACTCCCAGGCAAGCTGCTGTAGTTGAAAAGGGCAGACAGATCTGGAGAGCCCTGCTATCTTCAGGTACCTGCTGTGTAACCACTGGGAAATTGTTCTACCTGAACTTCAGCCTCTTATTCTGAAAAGTGGAGAGAATATGCTATGCTTATTCCATAACCATTTCACTGGGTGATTGTGAGGATTAAATGAGATGTGACAATGTATGTAAGACAATCCTGTGCCTGGCATATAATATACATTCAACAAACGAACTATAAAACTATATAATAAACATCTAAGCATAGAGCACACAATTTTACTCCTAGAGAGAAGGGGAATCTGAGTAGTCAGAGAGGAAGTTCTACCAAAGGCGTTCAAGTTTTATTGGGTTGTTGGAAAAGTCATGATGCATTTTTGTGACAGATGGCACTAGTTAATTTTTGGAAGTACTAGAGTCATTCGCATCTATGTTATTGCTATGTCATTTGACAGCTGACAGTTCTAGATTCATTATAAAAAAATTGAGCGATTTGGTTGAGTCTTGGAGATTTTACAACAAGTTGAAGATGGAAAACAAAACTGTACATTTCTGCCATATTTTACTGTTTTACTTCCATAAAGGGAAGAACATGCGTCAAGCTTGTGAAAAGTTGCATAAAGTTTACAGTGACGATGCTCTACAAGAAAGTCAGTGCCAATGATGGTTCACAAAATTCTGTGCTGGTGATTTTGATCTCAACAATGCTCCTCGGTCAGGGAGGCCCACCGAGGTTGATGACGATAAAATAAAGGCATTGATCGAGTCAAACCCATGTTACATGACATGAGAGATTGCAGAAACATTGAACATCCATCATTCAAGAGTTCATGATCACCTGAAGAAGCTGGGATACGTAAGCAAGCTTGATATTTGGATTCTGCATAAAATCAAAGAAGTTCATTTGATGGCGCATATAAACATCTGCAATATACTCATTAAACGTGAGGAAAACGATCCTTTTTTAAAGTGACTGATAACTGGTGATGAGAAGTGGATTGTTGACAACAATGTGGTGTGCAAACGGTCTTGGTCCTGACGTGATGTTTCGCCTCAAATGACATCGAAAGCAGACATTCATCAGAGGAAGGTTATGCTCTAAGTGTAGTGGGATTTTAAAGGTGTTGTGTTTTTCGAGCTCCTACCAAGGAACCAAACAATCAATTCGAATGTGTTGGACAATTGGACAGTTTGAATGAATCCACTATCCAGGAATGTCCAGAGCTTGTTAATTGTAAAGGAGTTGTGTTCCACTGCGACAACGCGAGACCACACACAAGTTTGATCAGCTGTAAAAAATTATTGGAGCTTGGATGGGATGTGTTGCCACACCCAACATACTCGCCTGACCTTGTGCTGTCAGATTTCCACTTGTTTCGCTCTCTTCAAAACTCCTTGCATGGTATAACGTTCAATTCAGTTGAGGCTATAAATCAGCACCTTGTTCAATTTTTCGCAAATAAAAACAGGTCCTTCTATGAACGAGAAATTATGAAGCTCACTGAAAGATGGCAAAAGGTTATTGAACAAAACGGGCAATATATCATTGGTTGATCTTTGTTCTTTACATAAATAAATGACCTTTGACAAACATAGACAAAATACATCATGACTTTTCTAACAACCCAATACTAAACTTAAAGATGATAAGTCTGAGAGGTGACTATCATTAAACCGATAAAATGAAAAGATCAGCAGACTGTCTTACACTTGCACCAAGAGTGGGGCAAAGAAAAATGAACTCAGATTAATGCAGACCAATACATAGCTCTCCCAAATCATAAATTCTTAACACTATTTGTTAACAATATCTATTGACCAAAATGCCTGTATCCTACTCAGTTTCAATCCCTCTAGAATTATGTGTGGTAGTCTCTCTTCTTGACCTAACTTAAGAGAAAACACAACTTTCTCTTAGAGTAAATATATTCAATTGCCATATAAATGCATGAGTCCATAAATACATTTATTGTCCAGCTCTCTTTTATCAACAGTTCAGAAGAGTGGCTACACTTAGAGATTTCTATTCCTGCAATAAACTTAGTGAATATAAGCACAGTATCTGAGTTATAGAATAAATAATGACATGTTAGCATATAAACTGAATGAGAAGAGGCAGTAAGCATAGTGGTTAACACATGGTTTTGGGGGTCAAGACCTATTTCTATCTTGGTCAAGTTACATAATTTGTCACTCAATATATAAGCACATTATCATCCTTTTTAAAAATAGGGGGCATGGTTAGACAAACATGAATTATCTTACAGGAGTAATTGCAACTACTTCTTTTATAGGAAGGAATAGAAAATTACTTTGAAGAAAATTACAAGAATCACCTGGTAGTTTTATTTGTTTACTATATATATATATATATATATATATATATATATATATATATATATATATATATATATATATTGACTGTATTCTCTATGCTATGTCTTACATCCCCACGACTATTTTCTAACTACCAATTTGCATTTCTTTTTTTTTTAATTAAAGTTTATTGGGGTGACAATTGTTAGTACTAAGTTACATAGGTTTCAGGTGTACAATTCTGTAATACATCTGTATATCACATTGTGTTCACCACCCAGAGTCAGTTCTCCTTCCATCACCATATAGTTGATCCCTTTTACCCTCAATCTACCACCCCTCTCCCCCTTCCCCTCTGGTAACACTAAACTATTGTCTATGTCTATGAGTTTTGTTTCTTCATTTGTTTGTCTTATTCATTTGTTGTTTTCAGTTTTATATCCCACATATCAGTGAAATCATATGGTTCTCAACTTTTTCTGTCTGACTTATTCCCCTTAGCATTATAATCTCAAGATTCATCCATGTTGTCGCAAATGGCACTATTTTCTTTTCTTTGGCAGAATAGTATTCCATTGTGTATATATACCACAATTTCTTTATCCGATCATCTATTGATGAAAATTGCTTGGTCATAAGGTAGTTCTTAATTTTTTGAGGCACTTCTTAACCATTTTCCATAGTAGCTGCACTAATTTGCAATCCCACAAATGGTTCCCCTTTCTCCATAACCTCACCAAGTCTTGTTGTTTGTTGATTTGTTGGTGATGGCCATCCTGACAGGTGTGAGGTGATATCACATTATGGTTTTAATTTGTATTTCTCTGATGATTAGTGACATTGAGCATCTTTTTATATGTCTATTGGCCATGTGTATGTCCTTTTTGAAGAAA